GAACCAAGAGAGGAGCTGATATAGCTTCAGATCACCACTTGCTGATCGCCAAAATGAGATTGAAGCTAAAGAAGCACTGGACAGCGGGGCAGACAACATCACACAAGTTTAATACGGCCTTTCTTCGGGATACCGTAAAACTCAACGAATTCAAGATAGCCCTCACCAATAGGTTCCAGGCCTTTCAGGATCTACTCAATGGAGAGGAAGCAACATTGGAGAACAATTGGAAAGGGATTAAGGAGGCAATCACTTCAACATGTCAGGAGGTCCTTGGTCGCAAGAAGCAGCATCATAAGGAATGGATCTCTGTTGATACTCTCGCAAAAATTGAAGAAAGGAGGAACAAGAAAGCAGCAATCAATGTCAGCCGAACAAGAGCGGAGAAAGTTACCGCACAAGCTGCATACACAGAAGCAAACAGGGAAGTGAAGAAGAGCATCAGAGCTGACAAACGAAAATATGTGGATTATCTAGCAATGACGGCGGAAAAGGCTGCAAGAGAAGGAAACTTGAGACAATTGTACGAAACTACAAAGAAGCTCGCCGGAAACTATCGTAAACCAGAACGACCAGTGAAAAGCAAGGAAGGGAAAATAATCAGCAACACTGACGAACAGCGAAATAGGTGGGTGGAGCACTTTAAGGAACTATTGAATCGACCAGCTCCACTGAACCCACCCAACATCGAAGCAGCATCCACGGACCTCCCAATTAATATTGGTGCACCTACGATTGAGGAGATCAGTATAGCCATCAGACAAATCAAGAGCGGCAAAGCAGCAGGACCAGACAACATTCCAGCAGAGGCGATGAAAGCAGATGTGGAAGCAACTGCGAAAACACTTCAAATCCTCTTCAAGAAGATTTGGGATGAGGAACAAGTACCATCAGATTGGAAAGAAGGATACCTGATCAAAATACCAAAGAAAGGCGATCTGAGCAAGTGTGAAAACTACAGAGGCATCACTCTTCTCTCAATACCAGGCAAAGTCTTCAACAGAGTATTGTTAAACAGAATGAAGGACTTCGTAGACGCCCAACTTCGAGATCAACAGGCCGGATTTCGTAAGGATCGATCGTGTACTGACCAAATTGCTACATTACGGATCATTGTGGAACAATCAATTGAATGGAACTCACCACTCTACATCAACTTCATCGACTACGAGAAAGCATTTGATAGCGTGGATAGGAAAACACTGTGGAGGCTTCTTCGACACTACGGTGTGCCTGAGAAAATAGTCAACATCATACGGAATTCTTATGATGGATTCAACTGCAAAATCGTGCACGGAGGACAGCTAACCGACTCTTTCGAGGTGAAGACCGGTGTCAGGCAAGGTTGCTTACTCTCACCCTTTCTCTTTCTCCTGGTCATCGACTGGATTATGAAGACGTCAACATCTGGAGGGAAGCACGGTATCAACTGGACAGTTAGGACGCAGCTGGACGATCTGGACTTCGCAGATGATCTGGCTCTTCTATCGCACACCCAACAACAAATGCAAGAGAAGACGACCAGTGTAGCAGCAGCCTCTGCAGCAGTAGGTCTCAACATACATAAAGGAAAAAGCAAAATTCTCCGATGCAACACAACATGCACCAATCAAATCACGCTTGATGGAGATACCTTGGAGGACGTTAACACCTTCACATATCTTGGCAGCATCATCGACGAGAAAGGTGGATCGGATGCAGATGTGAGGGCGCGGATTGGCAAAGCGAGGGCTGCATTTCTACAGTTGAAAAATATCTGGAACTCCAAACAGATATCAATCAACACCAAAATAAGGATTTTCAATACAAATGTGAAGACAGTTCTACTGTATGGAGCGGAAACATGGAGAACTACCAAAGCCATCATCCAGAAGATACAAGTGTTTATTAACAGTTGTCTACGCAAAATACTTCGTATTCGTTGGCCAGACACCATCAGCAACAACGAACTGTGGGAGAGAACAAGTCAGATTCCAATGGAGGAGGAAATCAGGAAGAAGCGGTGGAAATGGATAGGACATACACTACGAAAAGCACCCAACTGCGTCACTAGACAAGCCCTCACATGGAACCCTCAAGGCAAAAGGAAAAGAGGAAGGCCAAGGAACACACTACGCCGAGAAATAGAGAAAGATATGAGAAGAATGAACAAACATTGGACAGAACTGGAGAGGGAAGCCCAGGACAGAGTTGGTTGGAGAAAACTGGTGAGCGGCCTATGCTCCATTGGGGGTAACAGGCATGTCACGAGACAAGCCCTCACATGGAACCCTCAAGGCAAAAGGAAAAGAGGAAGGCCAAAGAATACATTACGCCGAGAAATAGAGAAAGATATGACAGGAATGAACAAAAATTGGACAGAACTGAAAAGAGAAGCCCAGAACAGAGTTAGTTGGAGAAAACTGGTCGGCAGCCTATGCTCCATTGGGGGTAACAGGCATAAGTAAGTAAGTAAGTAAGTTCAGAATGCAAGTTCATTTACTATTAATTTTACTGAAGCTACAGGTAACACTCATATACATTTGAGTTTGTTCACACTGAATTTAGTTAAGCCCTTTTGATCAACTTATTTAACCAGACAGAGTCATTGGAATATAACAACAACAAACTTTCTGTACCATTGTGCTTTTATTATTGTCACATTTGTATGTATGAGCAGGTAAAATTGAGCACTGTTTACCTCCGACGTGCATATTCGATCTATTCACTTTAATATCATTAGCCTCTCAAAATAATAATCCAATGACTCATTCATTTCCCTAATATGTACATTTTTAATCCTAATCAATGGCTCATCTTGCATATCTTTTTCGCTTCGTGTACCTGTAGTTTTTGTTAATCTGTGTATAGTTCGATAATAAACGTAAGCATTGCTTCCTGTTTGTCTTCTGTTTTTAGACACCGTTTGGCGTTAATCTAGCAGTATGTGGAGCCTAAAGAATATATCGAATACCGACCGTCACAGAATTGATGAGACCACATCGACCACAAGTTTATTCCAGAGGATATGATAACAAAAGACAGGAAATAATACATTTGATGCAGATGTGAAGGCGCGGATTGGCAAAGCAAGCGCAGCATTTCTACACATGAACAACATATGTCAAGACAGTTATACTTTATGGGCAGAAACTTGGAGAACTACTAAAGCCATCATCCAGAAGATACAAGTATTTATTGACAGTTGTCTATGCAAAATACTGAGGACCCATTGGCCAGACACTATCAGGAACAACCTACTATGCGAGAGAACAAATCAGAAAGAAGCGTTGGAAGTGGATAGGATACACATTGTGGAAAGCATCCAAATACATCACAAGACAAGTAATCCTCAAGGACAAAAGAAAAGACGAAAACCAAGGAACACATTACACCAAGAAATGAAGACTGACATGAGAAGAATGAACAACAATTGAACAGAACTACAAAAGGAAGGCCCACGACAGAGTAGGTTGGAGTGTAGTGCCTCCACATTTATTTGCATCCGCTTACATTTAATTTGCTTAAGCCCTTTCGATTAATTTTTATTCAACCAAGCCATTTGTATAGCAACAACTCATATGTACCATTGGTATTTTTTATTATCTGCTTTGTATGAGCTTGTACGACTGAGCATTGCTTACGCCTACGCGCTTACTCATCCTTTTCGCTTTAATGTTAATCTCTTAATTTCCCCATGAACTCACATGATTTGTATCGCTTGTCATTTGACCTTGTCAATCATTCGTCGCTTTTATTCATGTGTGTGCATACCTATTTCGCTTGTCATATGTCTGTCTTATTTTTGTCTGACTATATATTCTTAGTCATGTTATATCTCTTTGAGTTGGCTCAACAGCCTTCTCCTATTCGCTTCCCCCATTCACTCGCATAGTAATCCAAAGAGTTGGTTGGCTCACTAGCCTTCTCCAACGCGCTTCGCCTATCATTCGCTTCCTTCGTTTTATTCACTGCTTCTCCGCTTCGCTTTGTAGTGTGTCCCGAATAAACGTATTCATCAATACGAGTTCATGTTCTGATTAATAATACGAGCTTAAGAACACGCAGTAAATCGGCACACTACAGGAGGACATTGGTCAGCCGGCCTATACTCCATTTGGAGGGTAACAGGGCGTAAGCAAGTAACTATTATTATTATTATTATTATTATTGAAAATGTTTATTTCGTTTTAATAAATATGTTTGCTATTCGTCGTACAACAACAATTCAATTTAATAACAATAAGAATAAGAAAAACAAAACATTTTTAAAAAAAAAAATTCACAATTTAACAAAAAAATTCTAAACAAATTTTTTTTTAACAAACTGAGAAGTAAAACAAACCGATTAAAAATTTCGTCAAAAAACACAAAACAATGACAAGAGAGTTTCAATTTTTTTTCTCAGTAGAAAATAATAAAAAGGATGGACAGAAAACAAGAATAATTCTTATAAAATACCAATGGAAATCAATCAATTGTTGTAGCGATTGCATCGGTGTGCATTACGAATGTCTAAGCTGTAAATAGGCGAAATCGAACAGGAGGGAGACAGAGAGAGAGGGATTCGATTTTTTTTCCTCTTTACCAACACACACCTACACAACACTATAAAGCAATGACAACAGTCAGTCAGTCAGAAAACGGTTGTATTGTACACACAAAAGCGTTGATTTGACAAACACCGGCAAATCTGGGCAACGGGAGGCAACACAATGACAGAAGACAAAATATACTAATGTGTAAGCATGAATATTGTTTGTCATTGTTCATTAACCGGAATGAGTAGTATCGATAGAATGACAGAACGAGAAATTAAAAAGAAACAGAACTATTCCTAAATAAAAACTAAATAAAAAGAAAGAATAAACTAAGCTAGCAAAAACAAGAACACATACTACTACTACTAATACTAATACTACTAACTACCTGGATATACGTACGTACAGTAAGTACCCCCCCCCAAAAAGAAAAATGCAACAACACAAAGATGAGTCTGTCTATTTTAACAATTCACTGACAATTCATTGATTAAAATGAATAATAGAAAATCTAAATTACTAAATGAATTTCAATATGAAAGGCAAAAAAATTAATTAATTACTTAATATACACAATGAGGTTGAAATAAAATTTCCACTTGTACCACAATCTCATCTCATTTTGACGTACGCATTGCACACACACACACACACACACAGAGAAGTGCACAAAACAAAGTCAAGTATCAAAATTAATATTTTCTCCTTTTTTTTTTATTTCAATGTTAAATTCATCATTGTTTTAAATTGAAAATTACATTGATGATCTTCTGGATGATGATGTCTTGAACAGAACCATCGTTCACATCTGTAAAATTGAGAAGTTGAAAAGAAAACGAGTCATGGAGAATGATGTTTTATATTGAATTGATCATGAATCAATCATTGGTAGACCATTATTAGAAACCTGGCAAGCACCGAAAGACAGACCGTTTCATCCTGGTATGGGACTCATCAGTGGCAGTGCGCATCCACAATTCCTACTACTCGCAGCATCCGAACCTGGGACCTTTGGTCGAACGCTCGAGTTCTAGTGAGAAGACGTGACCAATGGAGCTTAACTCTAACAGCTGAAGATAAATGGGTGAGGTTGCGCAAAAACTCAGATTGATCAGAGTTAGACTTTAACACAACTGGATTCTGTCAATGGGACATAGATGAATTAAAGCATGACTGAGTTAGCTGCGCAGTTGATTGGCAAAATTCTTATCCAATCAGCGCCTGGTTGGGACTTGGAAAGCTGTCTGGAAAATTCTCGTATTGTTTGTTAGCTGCATGCTGATTGGTTAAATCTAATCCGGTCAACGCTAGTAAATCACGTGGATTACAATTCAAGGAGCTTCTCATGTGAAAACTATAAAGATACTAACGTTGTATCTATTTTTCCTTAGGTTTCTTTCTTCCATTTAACTTTGTTATTTGGAATATAATCTTTTTCCTGTTCCACCGTGTTCTGATTTGGGGAGTTGTCGAGTGTATTGTTGTCAGAGAATACTAAGCAATGGGAATTAGTTGGGGAATATTAAGACAACGTTATAACAGATGCCGGCCAAATGGTCCTGAGGTCAGGCGTTCGCACGCAAGGCCGATAGTCCTAGGCTAGAATCCTGCAAGTAGTGGGATTTGTGGATGCACACAGCTGATGATGAGTCCCATACCAGAACGAAACGCCCGTCTTTTTGTTTCTTGTCTTTAAAACACACTGATCGTGCAATGCGAATCGATTTGTTGATACTCATCTCTCAGATAACAACATCTAGACGACACCACGATGTATATTACCATACAAGCCATTTTGTAAGCAGCAGTGGAGGCGGTAGCAGCTACCAAATTAGGATTCAAACAAAGAATTTAGCCGACTTAACATATACAATAGTTAACCCTAATAACGTCATTAATCTTTTTAGTTAACTTCGAGATCAGTCTAAATATCGTTTAGTTCCATCGGCATAGTCAGTCAGTCAGTTACAATGTAGAAATGCGTATGTACGTACATCAGTTCAAGTTGCCATACCACATTAGCACAGAGACGCATTAATCAATTCATATCCTATACTAGTAGAGGTTGTACAATTATTAACAGTAATGAAGGGGATTAGGGTTCGAAAATTTTATTCCAGAAGTATAGTCCAGTGGAATCAATTTAAAAATAGAGAAGTAAAGATGATGAGGAATCCAGAAGATTAGAGCTCGAGAGAATACAAATAATACATGCACTTGCGCCATGTCCTCCAAAGTCTCTAACTATCGGTTACCGCTATTTCACGGATCCCAACCAGGTAAGTCTACACCTACTGATATGGCTCATTCTACTTATCAGTGATATCATGGATGTTTGCCATGTTTTGGTCTGGCCAACCCCTAGCTTTCTTCCAATCTAACCCTACCTCTACACCAGAAAACGTTGCTCATCGAAGCAGTTGTTGGTTGGGCATACGTAACACATGTCTCAAACACCTCAACTGATGAAGAATCACTACTTCATCAAGTGATCTATCGTCTTTACCACCTAGTACCCCTTTTCCTAACACGAACATCGGCATAGTTATAGTTTTTTATCAGTAGTACAAAATTGTATTCATTTCAATGGAATGATTCCTTTTCTCATGTGTGTATATTTCTCAGTTTTTATTTTAATAACTTATTTTATGAAGTTAATGTAAAAGTAAAAGAATGTATGTTTCAGATATTTTCATTGTTATTTCTTCTTGATACTACCTACTATTTTATATTTATTGATATTTATTGATAATTAGCATAATTCATAAGACCAATCGATATTATAGTCAGTCAGTCAGATGCAACGTAGAACTTCTTACGTAAGTATATCAGTTCATGTTGCCATATCACATCAGCACAGAGAGACGTAATTGTCAATTCAAATCCAATAGTAGAACAGGTAGTAAAGGTATTAGAAGTAATCGGAGAGGTTAGAATTAGAAAATATTATTCAAGAAGTATGATTCCGTGAGAAAAGTTTAGAAAGTCAAAACTAGAGGGGTTGAAGAATCCTGAAGATTAGGATTTGAGAGAACACAAAGAATAAATTCACCGGCGCCATTGCAAACGATTGTGAGTCATGTCATTCAAGGTCTCTAACCATCGATTATTATTATTATCTCGCCGACTCCAACCAGGTAGTCGACAACTACCGACATGGCTCAGTACACTCGCCAATGACTTCATGGATTTGTGCCATGTATTGGTTTGGCCGTCCCTAGCTTTCTTCCAACCTACTCCTACACCACAAAACATAGCTCGTCGAGGCAGTCGGTGGTTAGGCATACGCAGCACATGTCCTAACCACCTCAGCTGATGAAGTTTCATTACTTCATCTACTGATCAATCAATATTACAAAATAAAATGAAATTTAAAATAAAGAACTAAACTTCTTAATTTAGTAGTACAACAGAGTAAGTAGTAAAGAAGCGAAAATAATAACCACCAGCGCAGTCAGTACAATAGGAATCTATGTCGCATTAATTGCAAATAATTTGCTTTGTGTGTACGTACGTACGTACGTACATACACAAATATGTATGTATGTTAATTAATTAGTTATGAGAAAATATTACAGTCTCTTAGAAATAATGAAAAAAAATAGCACAAAGTTTTATTGGAATGAGATCACATAATTATGACAAACTTAAAAGAAGTCTGGAATGCTTGTCATGGTCAAGGTTAATAGTCATCCGATTGTCTGTCACAGCTACTACTTACTTGTAATGAATGAAAGAAGACACGTTAAGAACAGATGAAAAAAGTGGTATAGTTTCTTTTTGTCTAAATGTGTACATCTTATGATCAAACATTTATTTGTAGAAAGCAGCACATTCTAGGCTGTCTTCTCTCGCAAGTTTTCAATGCTTCAAAACACTCTGGTCGGACTATACACAAGGATCTGGCATCCTTCGCTTAGGTCATAACTTCAAGATGGCACTGCCGCATCAGTCAATCAGTAGTTACAACGTAGAACTTTGTACGCAAGTTCAGGTTGCCATACCACATAAGCACAGAGACGCAATTGTCAGTTCAAATCCCATCGTGGTAGAGATAGTAGAAGTATTAGGGGTAGTGGTGAAGATTAGGGTTCGGAGATAATATTCAAGAAGTATAGTTCAGTGAGATAACTTTATAAAGAGAAGGATAGAGTTGATGAGGAATTATTAAGATTGGAATTTCTGGAAACACAAAGAGTGGATGAACCTGCGTCAGTCTCTTACTATCGGTTATTATTGTCTCACGGACCACAACCAGGTAGTTTACACCTACCTACATGGCTCAGTCGTCTAGTTGTCAGTGAATTCATGGATTTGTGCCATATCTCTATTTGGCCACCCCCTAGCTTTCTTCCAACCTACTCCTTACTTACTTACTTACTTTCGCCTGTTACCCTCCAATGGAGCATAGGCCGCCGGCCATTTTTCTCCAACCAACTCTATCCTGGGCTTCCTTCTCCAGTTCTGTTCAATGTTTGTTCATTCCTCTCATATCTTTCTCTATTTCTCGTCGTAGTGTGTTCCTTGGCCTTCCTCTTTTCCTTTTACCTTGAGGTTTCCATGTGAGGGCTTGTCTCGTGACGCAGTTAGGTGCTTTTCGTAGTGTGTGTCCTATCCACTTCCACCGCTTCTTCCTGATTTCCTCCTCCACTGGAATCTGACTTGTTCTCTCCCACAGTACGTTGTTGCTGATGGTGTCTGGCCAACGAATACGAAGTATTTTGCGTAGACAACTGTTCATAAACACTTGTATCTTCTGGATGATACCTTTCGTAGTTCTCCATGTTTCCGCTCCATACAGTAGAACTGTCTTGACATTTGTATTGAAAATCCTGATTTTGATTTTGGTTGAAAGTTGTTTGGAGTTCCAGATATTCTTCAACTTTAGAAATGCAGCCCTTGCTTTGCCAATCCGCGCCGTCACATTTGCATCAGATCCACCTTGGTTGTCGATGATGCTGCCCAGATATGTAAAGGTGTTAATGTCATCCAAGGCATCTCCATCAAGAGTGATTTGGTTGGTGCATGTTGTGTTGCATTGGAGAATTTCGCTTTTTCCTTTATGTATGTTGAGACCTACTCCTACATCACAAAAAATAGCTCGTCGAGGCAGTCGGTGGTTAGGCATACGTAACACATGTTCCAACCACCACAGCTGATGAAGATTCAATACTTCATCTATTGATTTACCATCCCTAACTAGTACTCGTTTCCTAACGATAGCATTACTTACTCAGTTGCCCCAGAATACACAAGCAATGCATCGAAGAAATCTATGATCGAATACTAACAACCTACGAATATCCTCAACTCTTGCCGGCTATGTTTCTCATCCATACTAGTAGGAAGAAGCGAACTGCTGCGCAATAGAGCCGTTCTTCGGTTAGCAACCGAATATCTCGCTGACACCATAACACTACCCCACATCCATTGCATACTCATACTACTACTTATAAGCTTCGTTGTAAAAAGTATACACGACAAACAACACATTATTACAAATATTGAAACTGTTTCATTCATAATTATATTTTTAAGAAAGTTAAAATAATTAAAAGTCAATAAAAGCAACGTTTATTTAAGGCAAAGAAAGTAAACAATTTCAATTCGTCTCATCTTTAAATAACTGATAAATAAATAAAAGGCAAGATAGATAGATAGATAACTAGTTAAACCTTTGAGATGTTTTGTTAGTTAGTTAGTTAACTCTTCCATCTTTTTTTAATCAATCAATTATACCAACAAAAAGAAAATGAAAAACACTAATGTGAACAACTTAATGTGTCTCAGTAGGGTCAAGTGATTTGA